CACTCATCACTGTTAAAAAATTAATTTTACCTATTAAGAAGCCCACCCTCGCATGTGTTTTCACTGTCTTACAAAAGCATAACATTGCAAATTTACACTCAGTAGTTCATGTTTAACTTCATTAACTTACAAATGAGAATGTGTCATCCTAGTATGATAATTAATGCTAAGAACATTGTTGGTTTTAATGATAATTCATTTTTTAACAGTGATGAGAATTTTTAGATTAGAAACTAACATGCAAACACAGATAATGTTCTTAACATTAAATTTCATAATAGGTCAATTCACTCAAACTTTTAAACTAACAAACCAAAACATGAAGTCTTGAGCATAAAGTTTCTGTTACGCACTTGTAAGCTAGAACATAAAATGCGGGTATAATGTTCTCTTATTTCTTAAGAGTTTTGATTAATAAAAATATTAATTAAAAAAAAAAAAAAAACTATGAAACAAAACAGCTTTTATTCTATGAAATTACCACATTTTGATGAAAAGACAATTAAATGACTAAAACAGGTATATTAATTAATATGTAATCTTAACCTTTCACGGGGTAGCAATTTCCTTCCACATCAATAACTGGACAGTAGTTGAAATATTTACTGAATACATTTAAATTAGCATTTGCAGACATGAGAATAACTTTAAGATCTATATATTTTTTAACCATGTCCTTCAGAATAATCAACAAAAGTTCACAGTCAGCACGCCGTTCATGTATCTCATCCACAATTACATGTGTTATGCCAAATAAACCAGTTTTTAATTTCCGTATCAAAATTTCTAAAAATAAAATAAYAAATTTAATTATATTTCTCAATATTTCCACATTTCTAATATCTTTTATAAATTTTGATTATCACATATTTAAATCTGACTATAAACAAATTTTAATGATTATGAAATTTTTACCTATAATCATATCATAAATTTATTAAAATAAGTATATTTTGAACAATCTAAAAAAATTTAAATAGAAGTACATGTTTTTTTCAAACAATTTAAAAAATGTAAAAATAAAATTTACTTGAATACTTAAGTGTTTTTAAGTGTGTCTAGTTTTGGACTAATATTTAAAATATGTAATATTAATTGTAACATTTACCAACTGTACAGAATAGAATCGCTCCAAAAGACTGTGGTACAACACTATCAAATCTAACTGTATATCCAACACTTTTCCCTATAGTTTCAGCTCTTTCAAAACTCACTCGGTTTGCAATAGAGATTGCTGATACCTTTCTTGGTTGAGTGCAAATTATGTTACAATTTGCTCCTTTATTTGTGTCAATAAAGTCTTCAAGTATGAATTGGCATACCTACTTGTTTTAACAATTATGTGAAAAAGGGACATCACAAATTACAAGATATTAGTTAACTGACCTGAGTGGTTTTTCCACAACCAGTCCCTCCATGTACAATAATTACAGAATTGTCTCTAATTATATCTAAAATTGCATCTTTCTTTTTGAATATTGGTAAATTAGATCGTTCTATTAATCTTTTTTGAAATGTAAGTGAATTTTGTTTTTTGTCATCAAATTCTTTCTTTATCTTACAACTTATATCGGATAAAGATTTCTAAAAATATAATATTTAAAGTTCTAAAATTTGGAAACTAATAAAATGTTTAAAAAAAGTCTAAGTATATTTCTCAGTAAATATTAAAATTACTAACAACAAATAAATAGAATTAACAGCACTTACAGGATTATAGATCTTAATACCTCTCCATGGATTCCAATTTGACTGAGGAGGGCCCCATTTTATCACTTTAGAAGCATTAAATTGATTTAATGGTTCAAATGGTTCAACAACTTTCTCAAGAAGCAATGATATATTATTTAAAATACCAGTATAATTCTAACACAATTATTATTAATGAACAAATATTACAAATTGCATTAAATATGAATACAATTTAAATTTAATAACTATTACCTTATCAATCACTGGCTTAATCTTAAGATCTTCTAATAAACTATATAAATCATTCACCAGGTTTTCATTAAC